AACTAAGTTACCACGTTGTTTTAATAATTTATCTCAGCAAAAAACGCGTATAAACAAATGGAAAGTACGTCAGAGCCATAAAATTACGTTTATACACGTCTACAGATTGCATTATAAACAATTTTACCTACATAAAAATTATGTTACATCATTCTGTAGGTTATTACCTTTAAAATGAGACGTCCAGGAGCTCGATCGCACTAATACGAGCAAAGTTACAGAGGTTGAAAGGTGAAAAAAGACGTATTTTAGACTAATTATTGCATAACTTTTTTTCTAGTGGACGGATTTTCAATTAATTTAATGGAATTTCTTTGTTTTTCAAAGACGAATAAAATAAAAACAAATTGTTTTCATCTATCTTCAATATTTTTCAAGATATGGCTGTTTAAACAATTAATTTGTTTATAACAAAAAATTGACCAGGATTTCGGCCTGGTGACCTTCAAATTCGGTTTCAGCGACCCAAAAAACATAGAAATCCGTCAACTCGCCGAGGGGATCTCGTAAGTCCACTCAAATGTCACCAGCGCCCGGACTACAGTGAAAGACTTAGTTTAGATTTGGTTTTCTACCAGGAGGTATCAAAAGAGACAGCCGAAATATCATCGAAAAATGGAATTTTAGTATCCCCTGGCAGGACCTCTAAAAGATCATTGATATGCGAAAAATTCTGCAGATTTGCGAAGTGTCAAAGTCCCTCTTGAATACGTACAATTTAAAATATTTTCGATTTTTTTCAGTCATAGAAAAAAATAGTATATTTCTCAACGAGCGCATTTATTTATTTTTTTTTAGCAAAATGAGGAATTAGAGCACGAGTTGCAGACAAAAATAAGCGACAAAGTTCCGTATTTTTGGAAAAATTTCTTTTATTCTAACCTAAAATACGCAACTTTAACGCTAATTTTCGGCTTTTGTAGTAAAAAATAGAATCATCAAATGATGCAGATATATAACTAGACTCCTTGAGAAATACACAATTTTTCAAAAATAATTCTATTTTATGATTTTTACATACCAAATGGCAGTTCGTAATGGCAGTCAATGAGGATTATTTGACCAGTTGCTGTTTTCGTCCCAATAACCTCTCCATTTTTTACTTCTAATTCTGAATTTAAATTCACCCATTGTGTAGATCCATACTGAAAAATAATCATCGTTAAATTTCGTGGAAACTAATAAGGATTGAAGTTTGTTTAACTATTTATTTTTAAGGACGTTAGGGACCTTTGGGCCAAGTTGAGTAACAATGTTGAAAGCTCGGAATTTGATAGTTAAAAAAACTTATAATGTTCTTCTGACATTTCAGCTTCATTCATCGAATACATTTTTGTGTATTTTAATTTCAAAAAAACACTTTTGTACATGGCTACCATAGGAGAGTGCAAGCTCGAGTCATCACCTAGAGTGAGCTCTCTGCATATAATATACAATGAAGCTACCACACTTACATTCCAGTAAACTTTCCAGTACTAAGAATTAGTAAAAAAATACGTATGAATTTTTTCAGAATTTTTGAGACCTGCTATCACCTATTTTTACAAGTCTCTAAAATTCTTAGGAAAAGCGTAAAAATGCGTCAAATTTGTGTTAAAAAATTCTGAAGAAATTCAGACGTATTTTTTGACTAATTCTTATACTTGTGCATTTTTGCAATTTTTCTTTTACGACTTCTCGTTAAGAGTTAGAAAATCACAAAGATATTTTAATAAATTAAAAAATGATTTTTAAAATTGGCCCTAAGACCCATTGGATCAAACAAAGCATAGGGGGCTTCATTATAAGGTAGCAGAAGACCAGAAAAAAATTTTTTAGAACATTTGACCTGTATCTCATGAGGTTTCTCCATTAGTATTGCAAGTTTACTCTCTTCTTTGCTTGACCTCGCAGCGAGTCGCGTAGTAGGTCTTACCTACTATTGTAATTATTTTATGAAATTGTTTCTGGGCATACCGCGGCGAGGTATATTCTATGAATTTGGGGATGGGTACGTGTACATTGATGCACTGATTTTGATTTAAATTTTACTATAATTTATTAATTATTCTGATTTATTATATGAAAATAGACTATTTTGCTGGCCGTCACGATCCGGAGTCGCGCACCCTTGGAATGGTTCGAGTATCCTGCGGCTACCTACGCACTATCGTCGGTGCGTAGAACACTTCACGATGTTTACGCAGGTATCCGCGCTGCTGGGCCCTTAGATAAATGAAAAACGTGGTTGTGTGCTCGTTTATGATTGCGACGGGCTGGCAGAGGGAAGGTTAATACCGCGTCTATGCTCTGTCCACGCACGGGGCTCTTTGAATTTTTCGTAAGGCGGCACTTTTCACACGCGGCGAGAAAAACGGATTGAGTAAAACATTCAAAGGACACTTGCATTTTTGTGCTTGTCGTTCCGTGGTGTTCCTCTCCGTTCTCCAGATGTCCCTCTTGGTGACGCGCGCTCACTCTCGAAGAATTGCCGCTGATTTCCGAATCTGGTGCTCTAAGGGCTGGCGATAAGGGCGAGATTAGGTTGCGTATGAGACTCGTCGGCTCGTGCTAGCACCACACTCCCACGGTCGATCGGGATCAAGATCGGCGCACGTGGATTACCGCAGCCGGTCGTGGTTACGATCGGCATATGCGGACTTGGGAAATCTCATAAAAGAAAGGTTAAAATTTACCTCGAGTGTCCCAGGTAGAGTCCTCGTATCAGGTTACTGCTCGGAGGCTTGTACTGAATAATAATGAATCATCGGCTTCTGCGTGGCCCGTATTTATACGCGCGCGCGACCTCCCCTCTCTCGGTGCCTCAGCGTTGTGGTGGGTCTTCTCAGCACACAGGTGCACGGTGCATGTGGGTGCGAGGAAGACGGGTGCCCACGCGAAGCCTATTTGCGTACGTTGCCGCGGTCGGAGGGGCACATGGCATCGCCACGAGGGCTTGCCCCTCGCTCGCGTCCGCCAGCACTCTGCCATGCTGATCGCCGCTAAACGCGCCAACTGCCTCGCAGTATATTCCACATTACACCCGCAAAATCAAATAGTATATTGCTGTTGTTGTAGATATCCTCAAGCTCAGTCCTCGGTGATGATCGGCGATGCTAGAAAAAAGGGTGGAAAGGTTTGGAAAAAATAACAACTACTCGAGACTTTTCTTTTTAGATGTTCTCGGTTATGCACGTTGAGAGACTCGGATTTTATTTCCAATTAAGCATCAACGAATAACCTCACAAAATTACGTTACAAAATACCCACCTTTCATACATATGCCGCGCTACGCTCGAGTTTATTACTTTAGGATGTATGGCGGTCATCGATACGATAAGAAGTAAAAAAGAGTGCATAATATTATACTTTACTATACTGGAGAGATCTTTGATTTTTTTCAAAATTATTAACCGCAGTACTTTTTTAGTAAATTGACCTCGAAAATTGCAAAATTAACATGGTTACCATGAGTTCGTATGAAATAAAAATAAAAAAAAAACCTATGGCAATGTAGCTTACATATTTCTGATGAATTTAATCACTTCATAAATATGAGTTTCCACAAATTATACAAAGAAATTGATACTTTTTAACATAAATTTTGCTGTTTTTAGCGTACAACCGTGATAATACCCAGACGACGGGGCAACACTGTAAGAAATTTATTTTGTATTTACAGGACAATCAGTTGTCACGCGAAGAGTTCAAGCTATTTGTAAATTGTCAGTCAAATTTTTCTTTTAAAAAACTATTAGGGTAGAGCTAATGTTTTTTCATCAATAACCAATAAACTGTAAAAAAGGACAGAGAAAACAAAAACTATGGTTTTGAATACAGAAACTTTTGCAAGGTTAATTGTAACTGACAAAGTATTCACTGCCAACGCGAATTTTACAAGCAGATGCAATTGAAGATGGTAGTTTATTGATAAGTAATAAAAAAATGCATATACACAAAAATAAGTGTTTATGGACTATTATAGAATGTGAAAAGAAATGTATTTTTACAGATTTTTTAAATATTTTTTGCTTTGATTACAGTGTCATTTATTATGGAATAAAATTCGATTTAAAAAATTCAAGTAAATCAATTTACAATAGAAAAAAAAGAAGCGGTGCAAGATGAGTAACTAAAGTCACATTTAAAGGTAAAAAATTGAAAAAATAAATGAATAAAATAAATCAAATAAAATGAAAAAGTATTTGAGGTTGCACTTCTGGTGTCTAAGTATATTATACAAAAATCACCACAAGTGCAACGTTGTAACCTCTTATCTTACCCCGACGCACCTCGTCGGTTACGTGTGTCCTTTGGGCTTGTGGATCCGTTCTGCACATCCGGAGTCTACCTGTAAGATTCATGCAATACGGGGAGGGAAGCTCTTTACACTCGCACATTCGTCAGAAATCAAACACTTTATATTAACAATAACAACTACCAGGTTTATTCGTATTAAATAAACATTAAACACGGCCTCAGAGAGTACCCGAATACCCGGTCGACGGCAGACGCGACGATCGTAGCCCGCGCGGTACTCGTCAATCCGACGTAGACATCCCCGAGGATGTCGCGCTCAATTCGCACACTAGAGCTCCGTTCGCTCTCAAAGCAAATCTTGGACTCTCTCTTCTTTTCATATGTACGCTCTCGTATCTCAACGTATACGCGTGTTTAGGTTCTATTCTTTCACACTTGGCGCTCACATGAAATCAAATTCAAAATACCATTATAAATAACGCTTTTAATAACTAATTATACACTCGGCAAGTCGACGATGGTTAGTCAGGGCGGCTCAACAGATAATGCCAGTTCCGGCATTACAACGTCAAATACTTTTTGATTTTATTTGGTTTATTTTATTTATTTATTTTTTTAATTTTTTACCTTTATATGTCACTTTAGTTACACATCTTGCACCGCTTCTTATTTTTCTATTGCAAATTGATTTACTTGAATTTTTGAAATCGAATTATTCGAATTTTGTTTTGATTTAATTACTCGAATTTTAGATCGAATTACTTGAATTGTTTAATGTTCAATTCTATTTTTAATGTTCATAAAGACGTTACACATCTTACAGCTGTTCTTATACAGCTAATTTTCTTTTCTATTGTTATTTCACTCAATGTTAATAAAACTGATTTTTCGATTTATTCTGTAGTCAATACTTTCCGATTAATTGTGATTTCGTTTAATGAGTGCCGAGGCCACTTGCGCGGCCTCTACTTAAATTACCTCCGTTTCAAAACGAATTGAAGTTTAATTCAAATTTTCGATTTAGTTTTAATAATTTTGAGCTTAAGGTGTGGTTGGGATTGCCGAGGCCGCTCCGCGGCCTTGACATATTACGAACCTGCACCAACAAATTTGATGAATTTAAAAACTCCTTCACTCAAAATATTCGTTAAAAATTGGTCAATTTGTAGTTATATTTAAGTAAATTTATATAAATTAGTGTACCAGAACACTACGATTTATGATTTACGATTTATGATTTACGATTGTAGACATGTGCGCGAAGCTATACAATAACTCGAGTTATTATTTGACTGATCAACATGCATAAAAACGCAACGCGCGAGCGAAAGACAGAGATGCAGAGATACACAACGCTACATTGTACGTTTCATAGAAATGAGTGCTGACTGCCGAGTACTGCTCGCCCGTGCTGTGCTTGCCCAGCAGAAGCAAGTTAACAGTCACTCGACACTAGGGTGGTCCAAAAAAAACTTTTTTTTTTTAATACGCTCGCTTAGCCTCTAATTGTCTTCAACAAGTAATAACAAGAAGCTCCATAAATTTTGAGCGCAAAATATCAATTTTAAAAGGTCGCTCAACGATCAAGTAGGATAAAAAACGTGAATTAATACTTTTATGCCTAAAAAAAAATTCAAAATTGTTCATTCGTTAAAATTAGTTATTTGAAATAGTAATATGACTTTATGAGCATTTTTACACAACTACATACGGTATCAACAATGTTCAATACTTATAAAGTCATTCTAAGTCCTCAGAAAGTTCATAAAACGAAATTTTATAGCTCATTTAATGAAATTTAACGATTTTTTGGATATTTTTGAAAAAATTTCTGTGGGCGATTTATCGACTTTTCAGGGATCCAGTACGGTGGATTTTCATCTTTAGTACCGAAAAAGTAAGAAAA